AGATAATAGCAATCAAAATCAGCCTTAATTAAAAAAAATCATAATATATATATATTATGAAAAATATACCTTCGCGTTTTTTCAGATACTCGGCAGGCAAAGCAAGAGTGGAATCAATGATAATTGTAATTAAAAGTAAGGTGATAAAGCTCAAATAAAATTTTGACAACATTTTGGTCGGATTTTTTCTCAAGTGAAGAAAAATTATTAAGCAAAAGTAAATGAAAAAGAGTGAATGTGTGGTAATTTATATAATTTCTTAAACATATATATAATTAAATATTGTGCTTACGTTGTAAATTGAAACGGAATTTAAGTGGATTCTGAATTTTTAAATAAACCTGCATTTTGGATTTTTTCTTGCAAGATAATATGAGGAATAAATACTAACCCCTAAACATGCATAATAATTAATTTTTTATTAATTGCATATCTGATATAAAGTTTACTACATACGTACATATATTATACTTAATGATTTGCCGAGTTTTATGGTAATCAAATACCAATGCAAATTGCGCATATAAATAGTTCCTTGTTCTCCGGATTAAGTTTATTATGGGCTTTCAAAGTTAACAAATGGGTGGCGCATTTTGAAATTAAATGAAAGTTTGAAAAATCTTATTTATAATTCATAGTTTTAAAATCGGACAATGAAATGGGAATGTCTGAAGATCCTCATTTAACGAAATAAATAGATTTTTCAACTACAAAAATCATTTCAAATTTATCGAAAATGAAATAAAGTTGAAATATCGCTCATTTGAAAATAAATCTGTAACCAATTTCAATTAAAATTAGATTCCGCATTTTAACTTTGAAACCCCTATTATAATGCATTAGGGAACATAGTCATAAATTTAAAGTATAAATACAACCCAAATACAGTAAAAATTTCTAGGGGATATTACATCATAGTCTAACATTCGTTTGGCTCATGTAAATGAATTGTTTGAGTAACTTTTTTATACACAATAAAGTACTTGTTGAGAACATACACTAATAAAAAACCGTCGCATCTTTTTCTAAAGGTGAGCATTAAGATTTACTATGCAGAAGAATCTCAAAAAGATTTCACTCTTTAAGGATTTTTTTAGAAAACAAAATATATAATCGTCTCTTGAACTGTACGAAATTATACAGTAGAGAAAAATTGTCTATTTTATTAAGTTAAATTTAAATAAACATTTATTGCTAACTGTATAATTTCATTAATCAGTAGTGATAAATCTGATTCAATATTTTGCTAATTCTTGTAGTGTGTTTGGATTTAGTAACCGTAAATTAAAATTTTAATTTATATCTTGATTCTTTAATGAGTTCGGATTTACTACATCACCGTATAGTGCTGCATATAGTACCCGCTGGAATAGTATTCCCATTTTTTTTTGAAAAGTGATTTATGCTCCAATTTTCATAATTAATAGCGCGATCTTTTCATCGTGTTTGGTATGTTTAATAGCAAGTATATAGTGATCAGCAATGTCGGGGGTATCATTCAATCTAGGCCAGCTTTCTTGAATAGTACCCGGTGTTAGGTCCAACAACGTGATTCGAATAAGCTGCAGCTTATCACGTTTGACGTAGTGTTAGAGGGAAACCCGGTGTTACTGTCGTCGTTCTGATAGTGCTTTCTACTCTTGAAATTTGACCATGTGATATGTTAATAGTGTAACGGCCATTTCTTTTTTTCGCATTACTTATTTGATCACCGATTTCCTATTTTATATGTACTCTATACACTCAATTCCCTATTTTATATATTCTATATAGTTAATTTCCTATTTTATATCTTGTATACATAACATAGTATGCCATATATAGTTATCCATAGATTCAAGATCATTCGATGTTGCAATTACGAATCAAAATTATTCTTCTTGTGGTTTATATTTATACGAACAGCTTTATTGAAGAATCATGTTGTCAGCTTCATTAGGCAAGATCACATGTGAAAGATTATTTACCATAATAATGATTCTTGTAAACAAAGAACATTTACTTATTATCAACATGCAGTGTTGCATGTGAAGGCAATTGTGTCAATGACAGAAGATAATAACACCTTAACTCCTGAAAGGTTTTATAGAAAGTATATAATCAACAAATAGAAAAAAAAGTAACACCATCAATATAATAGTCTAAAGAATTTATATGTTACAAATCATGTATTTAAAGATCTTGTTTCAGATCTTTAATAAAGACAGATTTCAATCTTGTTTGATATTTATAAGAACATTCTTATATACATTAAATTATTTTATTGTATTATTATTTTATTATGAATATATCTTCATGCCTTAGTATTATTATTGTGCAGATATCCTCATGTTCATATAAATTAACTCCTAACTTAATTCATATCTCTTTTAACAATATCAAAATATTTAAATTATTAAGACTATCCTTTTTAATCCTATATCTTTTATTGATATTTTGCATATACATTTACCTATTGTTGTTCCTATTTCATGTTATGCAACCTATTTTATTTACTATTGCTGACCTAAATCTAGCTTCTACTAATGCTCTTCCAAAATCCAATAATAACATTTGATGCTAATTATGTAGAGTATCATGTTTTCAGATTTCAGAATCATATGAACAATTTTGAACAACATTCTAGAAATATTAGAGAACATGACTGTTAATATTATTTATTTAGAAAGACTCTTCAAGTGATTAACTATCTTACATGATATTACAAGATGACTCTTGTCTAGTTTGTTACCTTCCAAAGGTTCTTTCCTTACAATTTCAAAGATTTTAGATTTGTTTAATACTTTTTAGCTAGTTATTTCTTTTTCTTAACATGTAATACACTAATTTGAAAAGCTTAGTAAATTTGATATAGAGAACATTTTAGACAGATTGCTAAGCTCTTTTATTTTTAGTTTTTGATATAACAATTATTCTGATGATATTTCTATACTGTTAAATAATTTTTTGACTTTTTATTTAGAAACTAATAAATTTAACTCTAATTCTTTTAATAAGACCTACAACAATAACAACATCTTTGTAGAAGACATTATGACTTAATATAACAATTGCTTCCAGATTCTTCTTTTAATTGATTCTGATGATGATGATTAGCAACAGCTTGTGGCTCCAAATAACTAGTCCAACTTTCAAAATAAACCAATAATAATTTTGGTCATTAAATTGAAAATCTTATCCTTCAAATGCAGTATACTTCTGTTCTACAAATCAATATTCCTGCTCAAAACCAAGAATTTAATCTGGTTTCTTATTTTGACTTTTTTAATAATAAATAAGACTCTATTACCTGAGTAGAAGATATTAAAAAAACATTTAAGACCAACCAGGTCTTAGATAACCAAAAAATTCTTATAATTATTTCTTATTTAAAAGACATAGCAGCTACTTGGTAGGTTACTGCCAAAACAATATGATCTTCTATTAACTAATAAAGTAATTTTCACAATAAAGAACAAAGTTTTCATCTTTATTTTATTGTCTAATTCTAAATTCCTACTTTTGAGATTAAATGGTTTGTCTAATTGACTTGTAAAAACAAAAGTCTATAAAAGATGTTGACTCTTATCATGTATCTAGTAAAGAACTTTTTAGGTATGTAAAATCAGGAAGCTACTATTATCCAGGCATAGTTAAAGCTCAAATGTTTATTAACAGTCTTAGACCTAAGCTTTTTATAGCTGTTGCCTCTTTTATATCTAATATGTTGTCAGTAGCATATAAATATTCAAAATTTTTAAAAATTCTTTTAAACAAACTCCTTTATTCTATAATTCATTGTTAGATCCAAAACATGTGATTCACAGATAGCCAATTTTGTTATAATATCTTTGTCATATATCTCAAGTCACACCCTCCTAACTATGAAGATCTCTTACTATAGTGGGACTAACAGTGCCTATAATGCCAATAATGATTAAATGTTTATATTATATATAAGCATTATAATCATTATAATCACAATAATAAATATATGGATTATCAGTATTCTAAAAATAAATAGTAAATTAGATATAAATAACATGTAGTTTTGCTTAAGTAATAAAACAGATTCCATTACCTGAAATAAATCAAATAAAGGGTTCATCTACAAGTAACTGTAGAGAACCATTGTTAAAAAATAAACCTAACCTGTAATAGTAGTAAATTCCACTCTAATTGTACATAATTCCTGATGTAGTATGGAATACTGCAGTGTTAGAAGAATTAGAGTAATAGTCTCAACATAGTGTAGACTGTGCAAAATAAGCCAGACCTGAATCAAAATCACTTACTAAATCTACATGTCTTTTTCAACAGAAAGCTATCCAAACATTACACAAAGCCAATCTTTAATTAGCAACAGACTTGCTAAATTAGGACCTCTTACCATATTTAATATTATACTCTTAGGTTTTCTAGTATCTAGTTCTATAATCTGGTTTGTCATATACTTCTGTAGTTGGAATTGTTAATCCTCTATTAGCACCTTTCTCTAAAATTGAAGAGGTTCTCATAAAAATAACTAAGGCACTAGCTGCAATAATGTTAAAGCTTTAAAAATAGAAAGAACCACTTAAACACAATCAATCAAACTGGAATAATTCTTCAAGATATGTTTGTAACCATTATAGATAAATAAGTCACTTCAATCAAAATTGCTCCAACTTTTCATCTCAAAATAATCTGGTACAGAAGCAACAAATAGTAATACAACTTCTCTTGGACAGACTAATACTTTCTAAAATAATTTTCTGCCTATTAACAACAATGGCTCATCAATTCAAAATGAAGAAACTGAGACTTAAACTTTTTTGAATTTTTAATTAAATGAAGATAATTCCTTACTTCTTTCTACAGAAGACTCTAAAAGACCTTTTGGTTCTACTCATAGTAAAAGATAGCAGACTAAAGAACAAGTACCTAATGAATCTGTTAATAAATTAAGAAGCCATACTAGTAATCAAAAAGAGTTTAAAAAGAAAACTACAGGAGAATCTAAGACAAATAGAAAAGTAAAGATGGCTTTTTCGGAAAAAGTAAGATTGAAAACAACTCTCTTCAGATTTCTGCTTTGATTTTCTAATATTATATTATTACTAACATCTATAATAAATCTGTCAATATTATGCTAGAGCAGCTATTACAAATAGTTCTCTTTTTTCATATACACTTAGCCAAGAATTTTCAAAAAACAAAGATTTCAAAAAAGTAAGCTCATACCTTTGTCAACTTTTAGTTAATCCCTAAATCTACTGTCCTATATTGTGACCCTACAGTTCATAATAGAGTAATTCCTCTTATCATCAATAGCAGTTCTTTTGGGAGTGTTATATAATCTCATTTGCTTAGTAAATTGGATATTAAAGTAGAGAAATACTCTACAATAAACATAATTAATGTTCATAGTCAAAGTAAGAGAGCTATCAGTAAAATTTTAAATTTTTTCTTTTTAGTAAGAGACATTGTAGTTCCTGTTGATGTAATAGTTACAGATGTTTTGTTATATCAAGCTATTGTTGGAAATAACTAACTTTCCAAAGTCAATGCCAATATTAATTATAATATATTAGAAATAATCTTCAAATAGAAGAATTAAGAAGTTGTTGTTTCTGTTGAGTTTAGAAAGTTGTAGCATATTTCTATTTAGAAGAATCAGCTACTCAAGATTACTAAGGTCCAACCAACTATTAAAAATAATCCTGAAAGTTCTAACAGTAAAGAGAAAACTAATTCTGATTATGAAAAAGAAAAATTAGAAGATCATTCTTTAAATTTTTTAAAGATGAACAGAAAATTTTTCAGTATACATGTAATGGTAAAACTGAAGTATCTTCTATATTACAATTCTGATAGTGAATCTGTAAGCTTTTATGATAATGTTCACTCTAAAGATCTAAGTACAGAAAATGCTTGATGGAATATATACAGTAATGATAAGTATTTATAAGAATATGAGAGTCTCTTTGATTTTGCTAGTAATAAGTAAGAACTGAGCCATAGATTTTTCTTTAATAAAGTTAAAAAATCTACTCAGTAGTTAGATATAAGAGAATTGTAAATGACAATTATGACAAACTAGAAAAGTTGCTTGTAGGATATAATAATCTCTTTGCATAGACCTCTCAGAATCTAGGCTGTACTAATTTTTATTACTTATTTTGTTCATACTAATGAAGCCTCTTTTATTAAACAAAGCTGCTACTGTATTTTTTCTAAAGAACAAGACTTTCTAAAAAAAAATTAATAAAATGCTTTAGAATGATTTTATTTAATCCTTTTATTCCTTTGAACTTTACCTATTATATTTGTTAAACAGTGTAAAAAAACAAGATTTTAAGTTGATTATCGATAGCTTAATTCTGTTACAAAAATATAGTTATCCACTACTACAAATTGATAACCTATTAGATACTCTTTAATATTTTTCCTGATATACATTTCTTGATCTTGCTAGTAGCTATTGGCAGATTAAGATGAGTCTATTTAACAAGAAAAAAACTGCATTTATATCTCAATTTAGTACTTTTAAGTTTAATATAATGCCTTTTGGGCTCATTAATGCTCTGACTATATTTCAATAGCTCATAGATAGAATTTTTTAAAAGGCTATTAAAAATTTTATAGTTGTTTATTTAGATGACATTAATGTCTATTCTTTTATTTTTGACAAACATATTTAACATATTGCAGAGATTTTTAACTGTCTTTAAAAGGCTGAACTCAAGTTAAATTCTAAGAAATATCATTTTACTAAAAATAAGCTTAAGTTTCTTGGTTATGTGATTAGCCAAGATGGTATATTTACTGATTTGAAAAAGGTCTATGTTATTAGAAATTTCTTTACTCTTATAACCTTTGCCAATTATATTAAAAATGTTCAAGAATATTAGTAATGAATCTTTTTAACTTATAATATTAAATTATAATTACAAAATGTATAGTAAATAATAATCTTAAATCTTAAGATTTTTATTTATTTTTAAATAAAAACATGCTTATATAGCATTAGAATTTAACAGAAAGTAATTAAATTTACAATTCTTTTTTAGATTAATTCATTTACTTTAATAAATAATCAATCTTTTTTAAATTTATAAATATATAGTTTTTTTATTATTTTTACTTATTTGTAAAATCATTAAAAAAAAAATATAACAGATCCAATCTATTTTATATATCTTTTTTGAAATAAAAATAATATTTAAACTCTTTAAATAAGAATCATATGCTTCTTTTTTTTATTTAATTTTCAATCAGTTTTAATATTTTATTAGATAAAATTATTTAAGAATTTTATTTTTATATTTATTTATATTTTATAAATTAATTCAATAATCTATCTACACTATTTGTCAAGCTCATATTATAATATTTTAAACATCCTAACATTATTTTTAATAATAGTCTACTATAGTATCTGATATTAACTAAAATGCTACTTGGCTCTATATTAATAATAATTAAAAAATCTCTAACTTTGCTTATAATTTTTATTTTTTATTCTCAAAACTTTTCATATTAAAATTCTTCTAAATAAACTATCTGTTTCTTATACTTTTTATAAATGTAACTCTTTATACTCTTCTTTTTGTCATCAATGCAATCAAACTAGTTCTTTACTATATTAAATTACCTGTTCTTTTAGTCAAACTATCTATTACCAAGTTTCTAATTTACTTAATTATATTCTAGATATAACTGCTCTTAACATATTCACTAACCTTGTCTCTTACTTGTATAAAGAAATTCTTATACTCAACAGTTTTAAACTGCACAACATTTATATATACTATCTCTTATTTCTATTTTATTAGGTTTAGTTCATATTGATTTCATTTTTACTATTCATAATATTTCTATTTTTTATTATACTACTACTTCTTTTTTTATAAAACTTCTTTATTTAAACCAACAAATATATAAACAAATATAAATTCCATACTGTATTTTATGTTCTGCATAGTTTCAAACTACACCTTCCACTAACTTAACTTATAGTTCTTCTTCTAGTTTACTCTTATCTTCTATTTTAATATTACAAATTATTACTAAAATCAACCTTTGAACTATTTAATAAATTAAATATTATGACCTTCTTTTTTATATTATTACTATTATCTAAATCTAGATGAGCCTTGATTATTTTTGTAAATTTAGGTCACAGATTATATGTCTGAGTCTTTATTCTTCATATATAATTTAAAAGTAAATTTTTCTTTATAAAAACTTTAATTGAATTTCAATTAAATTAAAGACATGATCTTATCATTAATACAGTCTACCCTTGTTTATATCAACCTAATTGGATTGGTTTTAAATTATATTAATAGTGATATTAATAAAAGATTATATTAAAGTTAATATATATGAGGGAATTTTAATATATAAAAATTTATAAAAATAGAGTGTAGTGACCTAGTGAAGTGGTCAGGTTGTCAACCCTCCAAGTGGTAGATTGGGTGTTCAAATTTCATCAACAACAAAAATTTGGATAATCATCTATATAATATTCGTATTATGGCAACTGTTACTAATAATTGAGTTAGGATATCTGTAATGGTGGTCACATCAGCATGACTGGCAGATCATGAGGCATTCATGTAACAGATCACATAATATTGTTCTTTGGGACAAGGTTGTAGTTACATGAAGGAATGCAAATTGGCAATAGGCAGTGCAAACACTAGATAAGTCCTTGTGGCTGTGTAAATCTATTGAAATTGAGTAACAAGAAGTCCATTTGGGAAGACCTGAGTAGAGAGGTAGCCAGATCTTTGACAGCTCTACTGTAAAGGCTAGCTTTATAAAATGGATACCAAGGTCGAAGTAGCCAGATGGGCAAAAACCTTTAGGTGGGAGGTACCACCAACCAGGCTGCCAGATCGAGCCAGAGGAAAAGGATATTGGGCTGACCTAATATACCAAGAAACCGGTCATAAGTCCTACTGGGCTATCTGGATTGGGAGTTTGATGAACTGGCAGAGGTATATTTAAGTATTTCAGATATGCTGTGAAGTAAATGCTGAGGTTTGCATAAACTCTACAAGGGCATAGTGGTTTAAAGGTCAGTCCTAACCACAAGTATTGGTTCTGCCATAGCGATATCTAGGTCAACTGTAAAAATGAATACAGAAGACTCTAGAAGGTTTATCTTGAGGATAAATTAGTTCTAAGGTTGAGATGATAATCTGGACATCTGAGATAACCCAGTGATGTTAACACAGATTACAGGTTCAAAGAGTTTAAAGTAGAATACTTAAGCAGGATGTTAGGTACAGCAATTGGTAGAGAACCTTTGGGTGGACTTCTTAAATAGGTAATATAGAAAAGTTACATATGTAGCCAATTGTATGCTCTTCTGTAGTGGTTCATTGAACCACAATACCAATAAGTGATTAATAAAAGTCAAAAGACCAAAGAGGTCACCTTAATAAAAAAAAAATAAAAAATAAAAAATAAAAAAATTTATAAAAACTAAGGCTTGAGTTGCTTAAAGGGAGTTAGAAATGAGCATATTGTATTATATAGTTTTGGTATATTACATATGTAAAACAGATATTTATAGGTTATGAATAAGTATTTACATATTTGTATTTAAATTGACAGATCTTGAATAGAGAAGCTTTTATATTAAAATAAAAAAAACCATTGATCATTATTTATTAAATTATCACAAATGGAGCTATTGTTAAATATGATTAATATTGAATATATTGTATTATATTGAAAGTGTTTAATATATTAATTGGTTATTATATGAGTAATGAAAAAGGAAAACCTGTAAACCATCCCACTTTATTATATGAAATTATTTACAGGTTTTCTCTTTTTGTCACTATATATATTAATTATTTTTGATCTTTTTTTTTTGAAGGTTTTGAATAGCATAATTGTATTGGTGTATCATGTAATGGAAATTTATAATATCAAATTTAAAGTACTTCTTAAAAACAATAAAACTGTA